ATCAAACACTTTTAAAGATATTATTATACAAATCTATCAAATTTAATATTAAATTAAAGTTGTTATTTTTTTAGTTAGCTTATTAATAAATTTTTAATATAATACTGGTGATTTCGGAATTGGTTCTGAAACTGTCGTGTTCCGGAATCAAAAGTTTGGGAATATTTGTTTATGAAGTTCGGGTACTTGCGTGTTCGAAAACGTACCAATTTTAAGTTTGGTAATCATGATGTTCTGGAACCGTTGTTAAAAATATTTCTGAATATTTTTTGATTCCGGAATCGGTTTAGAAATTTGATAAAAAAATAAAATTCCCCAAATATTTTTATTGATTCCTGAAACTTCTGATCCAGGAATCAAAAATATTTCCCAAATGTTTCAAGAAAAGCCGATTCTGGAATCGGTTTCGACTACACTAACATGAATACAAACTTTTAAATTGTTAAAGATAACCAAGTCTGATGGTTGGGTCAGATGACTTGAATGAGGACACAAATGAAAAACAACTATCATGTTTTTGTTGAATCCTTCAACTGCTTTTTCGGTAAAGAAAGACCCCAACCACCCATGATAAGCACACACCATTCTTTTTTTATTTTTTATTTCTTCAAAAGCCCGAAATAAAATTTTTCTTCCAAAACAAAAAGATTTTTATAATAAATCATTTATCTTGGAAAACAATTACCAACGAATCGAACATTACAAACTGCTCAATTGTATTTTCAATGGTTTTTATTTGGGTGGTAACCATTTTATCACACCTTTATAATATAATATTAATTTATTTTTAATTTTTGAATAATTAAAATATGTTGTTGAATGTTGATTTCATATAATTTCAAATTTTATTTTTAATAAAGGAAGATTTTTAGGTAACCAAAAAACTAAGACTGAACCTTTTTTCGAATGCTAGCCAGTAAAAGAACAAAAAAGAAATAAGTGCTGGTTTCTCTCCAGGCGTGGCTTTCTCCCCTCACGTTAAATGTCTTTTTATTTTTTTAAATAATCAGATGAATATATATTTAATTTATTATAATATTATATAATATTTGATATATATAATATATATAATATTAATATTTTACATCAAATGAAATAATAATAAAAAATTGTATAATATAATTATGATGTAGTATATTGTAGTATAATTAGGAATAAATTTATGTTTTTTTTATTATTTTATTAATTATATTATAGTATTTTATTTGTTATAATCAAAATAACCATATAAAATTATTTTAGTAAGAAAAAAAATCATAAAAGTCTTTCAATCACTTTAGTCTCAACTGTCGTATTCAGTGTGCTGGAAAGTAAATTTTATCATCTTTCTCTTTTTGAATTGTGTAAAATGAACAACGTGCAGTGATTTTTTTCAAACAATGGTTTGATACATAAAATAAAGATAATTATAAAACGGTAGTTGGGTGTGAAATTGTAGGATTTGCTTTTAATAAATAGTATAATAAGTACTATTAGATTTTTAAAAAAAATAATAAAAATTTGTAAATTTTAAAGGAATTTGACTGAATGATAACTAGGTTGTATAACAATACATCTGACTATCATCCAAACAAAAGTTAATAAACACACCAATTACACGCTTTTTTATATTGTGAATGATCGAGATTATCATATTTTCTTTGCCTTCAAACTCCTCAAAAAAATGATCATAATTATGCCCGCTTTTTTATGTATTATATACGTGTTATTTTTAATAATAAAAAATAGGATGGCAATCAGAAACTTTTGTTTATCAAAAAATCCATTTTGATTCAATTTCAAGGTAAAATATGGATAATTTTGTCCATTTTTTGCTTAAAATCAAATTATACACAAGAAAAAGGAATTTAAATATATAAATGAATTTAGATTTAAAATACCTTCATTTTTTTTTCTAACAGGGTTAAAAAAGTTTATTTGTTTTATTTTTTCTTAAAAACTCTAAACATATTTATGGGTTTCAAAATTATAAAAACACAATGGAAAACATTAACCAACAAAACCACCATGGCTTGTTTGAAACAACTGTTGGTACACAACAACAGCCATAACTACATGCGCAGCAACAACCACTCCCCGTAAAAACCACAAAAAAGCTCTGCACAGCAACGACCACTACAAATCAGGCACAGCGGGACTCATTATTTTTTCATTAGACCCTTGTCTAACTCCATTTGATCAACAAGTCATGTTCAAAACATAGAGGAGGCAAATGAAGACACACAAGAACCACCAGAAATCCACCAAGACCATCACAAAGTACCAAACACATCAAAAAGCTGTCAAAAAGTCAACCACTACACAGCGAGATCAACCACTCCAACGTCAGTCAAGAAATGAAATGCGTGCTCAAACAACTTCACTGATAACTTTGAGACAAGAAGCTGTTAATATGGTGATGACTAACACTTATACCCAAGAATCTACATCACAATTTCTTTTAAAAATGGTAATTGTTCAGTTCGACTCTACTGCAATTCAAACACCAACAGCTCCCATACCAATAGAATAGAAACAAACACCATGTGAAATAAACTTAACTGGCGACACAAGATGTCTCACTTTGACCGGATTTTCAAAATGGGAATTTGGCGAATTGCTTGAATTCGTTCAATACATAAAGGAATACTTTGTTGTGAACAATCAACAAGCTAACATTGAACAACTTGGTTATTTTGTTGGTACTGAGCCTAATCTAGCAATTGAAGAGTAAAATGAATATTGTCAGATGTCATATTGTAATTTGTTGTTGCTACCAATCACTCAAATTCACTGTGATTATATTTAAATTAACTGTTTTACAATTTCAATATTGTGCGCATTCTTTTTCTGGACCAATTGACACACCAAACTTTGAAATGAAAGAGAAACATAGAAGAGAAACTAACGTTTATGGTTGGATTAAAATGGCATTGGACTTATTTTATGATCCATTGTATTACCCGTTTATTGATTCAATTAAACAGTGTCAAACTACAATATTAAACTTTTCAACCAATACAAATCCGGCCTTTCTTCAATTTATTCCAGATTCAGCAAAAGTATATTATGTTGTTGATAGAAGAAACTAACCAGTTAATCACCAAAAAATAACAGAAAAAAGGTTGTTGAATTGCAAAAAAGGTTTTATTCGTACAAGTTCAAACACTCAGGGTTGAAACAATATTAGTAATTAATTATTTCGGACTTGCTGTTAGTATTGTGACTGAAATATTAGCTGCTACATATGACAGTGTTGTTTTTAAAACTTACCTGAATAGAAAGTGTGTTGATGAAGGAATGTTGTTTCTTGCTAATGGAGGCTACAAATCTTGTCTGAACCCCGTCACTCCTCTTCAATTGGATCTTCCAACTGAATACACCACTCAACAGGTGGATGCAATTCGAAACCTCAATAATGTTCATTTTTCATGTCGAATTATTGTCGAAATGTATTTGGAGGATTGGTATTCACTTTTAAATTGATGAGAAATCAATGGAAATTACAAGCAAAGAATAAAAGTAAATATGTTACAATTGCCCATGCTTTGTTGAATTTCAAAATTACCAAATGCCCATTGAGAAATGTCCACTTTTATATTTTCCATTACTATTTAATCACTGAACCTCAAAATAAATAAATAAAGTCATAAAAGATCTTTTTATGACTCCTCTTCCACCAACAACTATTAGATGGCTCGAAACTTTTATTAACAATGGTGACGTTTCTCCTATTTCCAATGGAGAAAGAGAATTTGTCGATGCGACAAACAATTAACGAATTGAATTCGTTTTTACTCAGTTTCTCTTTTTTGTAAATAAATAATATTATTTATTAAAGGTTTAATAAAAACGAATTGGATATTTTACTGCTTTTATATCTGTAATTTCAGGAAACAACAGTAATATTTTTCCATTATACTATAATAAACTAAAATTACAGTCAAAGGCGTCTATTTGTCGTAATTATAATTGTCGAAGTTGCTTAATTGTCGCACAACTGGCCAATCATTTTGGTGTACGACAATTAAATATTTTGTGAGAATCTGTAACTTTTGTTGAATTAAAAACTTCTTTATATTCTTTTGAATAATATTTATTAATTTATTTTGAATATAAATTTATACAATGAAAAAAAATATAGTATTAAAAATAACAACTTTATTATTAATTTAAATTGCATTTTTAACAAATAACTTAAATTATCAATCATATTTTGTTCTTTTCAAAACATATCTTTACAGATTGTGCAATTTCTTATATCTAGTAGCAACTACTTCCAAGAAAAAAGTCCAATTTACTCATTGTATCTAAAACGAAATCAACATAATCATCTTTTTGTCCATCACATACTTTCCTTTAAATTAAACAAAGGTTGGACTCTATTTGTTTGATCATTAAAGAAAAATCTTCATCATTTTGGTCATCGTTAACAAATTCATCATTTTCATCGTTATTTAAGGGGTATACATTTTCATAGTTTACATTTATAATGGAATCAATGGTGTCTACTGCTTCATTTTGATAGAAGGGTATACTGTTATAAAGTTTTATAATACTTTCATTGATTCCCATATCATCCTCTAACTCCATTCTGCTGTCTTGCTCGAACAGTCCCGTGTGCATAAAACAGTTATGAATAGTTTCAGCGCTGACTTCTTTCCAGGCTTTGGCAGAAATTATTATATATTCAACAACACTCAGCTGTGTTTGTGCAACATTAAACTTTATTTTTGGGTTTTTTGTTTTCTGGAAATAATTCGATGATTTTTTCTGTTGTGTTTTGAGAAATCATTTCTTCTATTTTTTGACTACAACATCCAATGGAATTTTCTAGTAAAGTCTTTTCATTTTCATTAAGGGCTTCAGATGTTTATGAACAACAAATTTCTTTTTGTCAATTTCACATTTTTGTTTCTTAGTTAATTTTTGTATATAATCTTTTATGAAATGTTTTCTATGATGTTTTTTGAAGGAACTTATAATACCTTGGTCGTTTGGCTGAAGTTTACTTGTCGTTTTAGCTGAAAAACGCACGATTTCGATGTTGGTTGGAATGTATTCATCTTTGTGTGTAGTAGCATTATCAATAATAAGTGCGAAATATCTACCAGAATTCTTTAATTCACAATCCCACGTTTCTAAAAATGTATTCCATATTTTTACAGACATCCAACTGGAACTCTCCTGTGAATAAACAACACCCAATTCATTAAAAAGTGTTTGTGACCCACCTCTTGGACATTTTGCTCGATGTATTATAATTGGTTTCCTTTTGTCGCTTCCATCACAATTACAAGTAAATAAAAGCGTTATACGCTCCTTTTTCGTTTCTACATTTTTTAAAGATTGTAAGACATTTTCTTGGTAATTGTCTATTAAAAAGTTCCGTTTCATCAGAGTTGTATACATCTGAGAAAGAATATTTTTTCAGACGTTTTTTGATATCTTTGATTTCTTCTTCATAGAACGCAAGATCAACAAGTTCCTCTTTCCCGACTCCCACTTTATATTTGACCCTAATCTTAGTTTTAAACCTTTTTACGAATCCTGGAATATCAATGATCGTTTTTTCTTTTATCGTTTTCATTTTGTAGGATATCATTGACCTTTTTTGTAATACATAGTCGTCCAAGAAAGAACCGGAATTTATGGCTTTCATTGTGTACTCTTTTAATTCTTCAAAAACTCTTTCGATTTTAACCTTTCTAAAATGTTTGAAGCTCTTTATTTCTCTTCTCATGTAAACTTCCAACTGTTTTGAATTGAAATTGTATTCTGGAAATTTTGAATTAAATTCAAATGTGATTTCTTTCCAAAAATTTTTAATTTTTGTGGTTTTGTACTTTTTATATAATTCCTTTATTAATGTGTATGCTTCTGGTGTGATGCTTTTGTAGCTTTTTCGTGATGAACATTTCAACGTTTTGAAACTCATTGTGTATTTTTTAATTCTTACTAATTTATTTTATATTATTTAATTCATAATAAATTTATTTACTATTGTAAATATTAATAATTGTTTTCTTAATTTTAAACCAATAAATTAAAAAAACCCTTTAGAATTTTCTACACAATTCTCTCATTTACTACAAATAGATATTTTTTTCTGCTGGATTTACGACAAATAGACGCCTTTGACTATATACTATTTCTTTTATTAAATGAATTGTGAAACTATAATTTAAATGGTAAATTATAGTTACTTAGCGAAAAATCAGGTACAACTTTGTACTCGCCAAAGTTCCCAGGACTTAGAAGAATTTTGACCACTCGCCAGAGTAGTCAAAAATAGTAGTTCTATTTTCAGCCAACTTTCAATTTAAATGTATAGTTCTATAAACTAATATAATAATATTATTATTATAATTAATTAAATTACAAACTTGAAGACAATCCAAAACATAATTTAAGCTTTTTGAAATGAAAACTTCTTTGTATGGTCTCTGTGCTTTATTCCATTTTTTCTTTTTTGAGTAAAACTGCAATTTGCACTATCTTCGATATCTTTTCCTATATTAACAGCCTTAATGATTTGGTCTTTTGAGTTTTCCAAGACGATTTGTTCGAATTTTGAGATTCCGTCGACAGCTTGCATTTTCTTGATAGTGTTCAACACGTCAGTCATGTCGACCTTCTCGTTGACCAATTTGTCGCATGTTTCTTTGATGAGTGTAGTGAATGCCTTTGTTGGTAGTCTTCCTTTGATGTTAGAAAGGGAGTGCAGACATTGAAGCACCAAGTCAGCGATGACTGTGCCTTCTGTGTACAAATATGACACCAAGAAGACTGTTCCAAGATATTCAAACTCATCCACTGCATTTGCATCTTCACGTTCGATGCGTTCGATATCTGTTTCATTTTCAGATGGCATTCTGACAGTTGGTGGATGTGTGAATTGATTCTCTGCCTTCCCAAGAAGAAATTTGATCATGTCAATTGCAAGGTCTTTCTTGGTGTCAACTACAAGCATCGCATTGCGCACTTTCACAAAGAACTTCACATACAACTGCACATATCGCCGCTCATTGATCGCATTTTTGAATAAGATCGACAACATCGTCTCAACATCATCTTTACTTCGCATCTGAAGCGCCATTTGCGAAGACACTTTATCAATTGTAAGTTCTGTCAACTGATTGAACCACTGGCGATACATCGCCTTCGATTGATCTACATTAATCAACTTTTCTTCTTTCTTCTCTTTCTTAATCAAAAATCTCTGGAATATCTCATATACTGAATCTCGAGATCGTATTTTATGAAATCTCAGTTCTTTCATTTCGTCAATTGAGTACACATGATGTGGCAATCTCGGTGTGATTGACTTGACGGAACAAGGAATGGCCAATTCGTTGTTCTCACTTTTGGAATGGGTGGGTTCACAAATATCTTCAACTATGGAAAGCGACTTTGTGTTGTCTTTAGAAACTTTTTCATTAATAAGGTTATCTTCTATAGGTGCTTGTTCGCCTTCAGTAACTCTGAACCGTGGTACATAAGCTTCTTCTAGTTCCTCTTGAACGTCTTCTGGTTCTTCTACTAAAAGATCAACAAATTTATTTGCTCGAACTTCGATTGGTTTCACCGTCGTTCCACTTGTTGTATATCCACGTTTGGGGGCGTCAATAAAAGATCTTTTGTATAATGTCCCATGGACGGGAGGGGTTAAGAGCGCCTCTTTTCGTACCAAAAAATCTTCGAAATCTTGTTGATTTTCTTCTTGAGTTTTGTCACTTTGACTGTGATGATCTTGTGATGTGTTATCTTTTTTTGATAGAATGAGAGGTGTTTTGTCGGAATCTTCTTCTGTTCGAATGTCATTTTTTATCTCTTTTTCTATCACATTCTCTTTTTGTGATCGACTCATTTCTTCACGTTCCGGTTTCGTTATCTTCTCTTTCTTATTCTTCTTTGACACCTTTTTCACTTTCTTTGTTGTTTTTTTCTTCTTTTTTGAAGGAACTTCGTTCCACTCGTCATCAGAAATTTTTTTCACGTCTTGTTCTTCACTGTTTGTATCTTTTTCTTTTTGATGATTTTCATTCATCTCTATCATATTGTTGTTATCACCACTCATTTTTTTCTCTTCATTCAAGTTCTTTTCGTCTTGGTATGTCACGATAGTTTTAATCTCAACTTGAGTTTTATGGATTTTCACTTTGGTCGTTTTGTCATTCTTTGTTTCGCGGTCCTGTTTTTCAACCGCCTCTTTTGATTCCGCCACTTGAGAAGATTTTTCCTCACTTTCTTTTGTTTTTCGTTTTGGTACAAATTTTAAGTTTTTTAGTGCTGCTCTCGAAAAGTCAATCTTTTCAAATTTCACTTTTTCGTTTTGTAGAAACAACGAACATTTTGGTTCCGCCGAAGCCGCGTGTGTTGGTCTCTCACATTCTTTTTTTCCCAGAACTTTAAAAATATCCAGTCGATTTTCCGTGATTTGTGGAAACCCTTCACTTTTTTCCTCCTTCTTTTTTTCCATCAATAATTCCTCGAAATGAGGAAAATCAGGGTTTGTTTTTTTGCCCTGAAATTTCCCATTATTTTCCGCGAATTGAGGAAACCTCGGGTGTTCTATTTTCGTGAGATTGTTGTGATGAGTTTGAGGAATAAAAATAGGGCAATTTCTGACGTCTTCTTTGAGTGCAAAAGAGTTAATTCTTCTATTCATATTAGGTAAACCTGCCGACTTTGTAGTTAAAGGGATATCCAAATCTTTATTAATTGGAGTTTCAAGTGTGGAGAAATCAATGAGTTTGAGTCGTGGAGTCTCATCTTTTGATCTTCGTTTGTGTGTGAAGGGCTTTGCAGTGAAGTCATAAGTCACTATTATTGGCTTTGCTTCAAGGAGTTGCTGTCGTTCAGTGACGCTCATGAATGTGGATCTTCGGAGTTCAAAGTCATTGAACCACCAATTTGTAATGAATAACAAAAAAGTCAATGAAGTCCCAAAAATACAAAGGCTTTTTATTCAAAAAAATGCGACGAGTTACTTGTTATTTCAGTCTTTTTATTTCACTTTGACTGGCGCGTCTTTACTATTTCTTTTTAGTGTTGGTTGTATTATTCGATAGTAAAAAGTGAACTACTCTTCACTTTAGTTTTGTTGTCTTTCAAATCACCCAAAATACAAAATTCATTTGTTAATTAATAATTAAATTAATATAAATTATTAAATAAATCAATTGTTGATATTAACTAGTTAGTTATTGATTCATTAACTATTTTTAATACAGTTTTCGTATTTTTTTGAGTAGTTTGTGTCATTTTATAGTAAAATATTATAGTAAAAATAACCATGAAAATTAGAATAAAAACCATTTTATTTTATAATAGTTTGAGGTTTTACGATATTGAGATATAAAATTTTAGTCCATATTTAATAAAACTCATTTTTTTGAAAAAAATGAATAAAAAGATTTTGATAATAACTTTACAGGTAGTTTTTTAATTACGAGGTTATTGAATACATCAGAAATTAAACACTTAAAAAATATTAATGAGAAAAACGGTTTATGTTATTTTATGTTTTTTTTTTGTTGTTATTGTCTTGTAATATTATTGTAAAGGTATGAATCCACTTAGTTTAGAAGAAGAAGAGTCACATCTCAATACAGAAGATTACAGTTTATTAGAAATATTTTAAAAAAAGTCTATTAAATACACTAAGAAATTAGAAACAACAAAGATGGGTATTGAAATGAATACCAATATGTTTACAACAAATTTGGCTAGTATTGTTCATCAAATGGTACTTGTTGAGCAATCAAAAAACGAAATAATTAAAAATATAATTAGAATGAAGGCTATTTTGAAAAGTGAAATGTATCAACTTTTACAATTACTTGACCAAGGATACAATTTATATAATGTTGAGAAAGGTGGTTATAGTGCTTACCTATTCCATTTACAAGATAATATTAGAAACGTTGTTAAAAGTCAGTCGAGTAAAGATGACAAAGAAATGGTTGTGGAGTTTTTAATTTTGAAGATAAAAAATTTTGAATTGACTCAAAGAGTGATAACACAACTTGCAAGTAGTTTAAATTTTCAAAAAGATGGAAGATATTAAAGAGCATATACACGGGTTATGGATGTTATTGGAAATCTGAAACTTATTGAGGAAAAATCAAAAGAGAAAAGAGGTGAAATTCAGTATAGTTTATTACCCAAAATTACAGCACCAACAATACCTAAAACAACAAAACCGACTTCAAAACATTACAATAAATTATTTACTAAAAATGTGTACAGTTTGCTGGAAGAATCTATGGATGTTAGTGAACCTTCATCTCAACATGGTATTTCTCAAATGCAAACAACGAGAAGACCTACTACTCCAAGACCAGGTACCCCTATACTTCAAATGGAAAGTATAGCAGGACCTTCATCAGTTCAAAGTCATATCATTCAAACACAACAGACTTCGCAACCTCAACAATCACAGCAAGCTGTAAATGTTGTACCAATGCAAAGGAAATCAGAAAAAGGGAAACAACCACTTTCAAAGAATAAACCAGTTTTGATTAAAAGAAGAAGAAAAACCGAAGATGAAGATGTTCATCCAAGTACCTCCAAAATTCAGAAACTGAGTACCACAATTTCAACAGAAAAGGATGAAGACAGTAATGATGAAATGAATACACATTAATTAAATAATGACTAAATTTAGTTTAAATAAGTAATGATAATATTAATGGGCATTTTTTATGTTAAACATCATAATTTGAATTCTATGTATATAATTTAACCTCTTTATTAAAGTTCATCTTAAAACCTTTATCAAATTAGTTATATTATGTTATGTTTATTCTTTTTGTTCTTATTGTCAAATGCTATGAATCCTTCAAGTGAAAAGAAAGAATCGTATGAGTTGTCTGAAGAAATAATACAATTGTTACACAATCATATTTATTACAGTGAACAATATCAACAATATTTTGAAAAAGTTATATCGATGTTACAAGAACATCTTGGACTTTTTACAATTGGTATTATAGAAAACATAAAGGAAATAAAGAGAAATGAATTTTTAATACTTACATGGCTTAAAGACATCTTATATAACAGAAGAGTAACAAAAGTGGATTTAAACATTTTTTACAATTAATAGACAAAATGTTTAATTTACATAATATGGAAAATCCTGGGTATGGGAGATACGTCTTCCAAATGAGAGATAATTTAGAAGCAATAAAAGAAGCTCCAAATCTCGAAGTTCAAACTCAAAAGAATTTACTTGCTATTGTTTTGCTAAAAGTTGATATGTACCAAGTCCTTTTACATACATTAATGAAATTAGGAAAGGCACTTGCGT